GGGATGGGAGGGGATGGGGATGGGGATGGGGATGGGATGGGGATGGGGATGGGATGGGGATGGGGATGGGATGGGGATGGGGATGGGGATGGGGATGGGATGGGATGGGGATGGGGATGGGGATGGGGATGGGGATGGGGATGGGATGGGATGGGGCTGGGATGGGGATGGGGATGAGGATGGGATGGGGATGGGGATGGGATGGGGATGGGATGGGGATGGGGATGGGGATGGGATGGGGCTGGGATGGGGATGGGAATGGGGATGGGATGGGGATGGGGATGGGGATGGGGATGGGGATGGGGATGGGGATGGGATGGGGATGGGGATGAGGAGCTGGGGACAGAATGGGGATGGGGATGGGGATGAGGAGCTGGGGATGGAATGGGGATGGGGAGGTGGGGATGGGGATGGGGATGGGATGGGGATGGGATGGGGATGGGAGGGGATGGGGATTGGGATGGGATGGGATGGGGATGGGATGGGGATGGGGATGGGATGGGGATGGGGATGGGGATGGGATGGGGATGGGGATGGGATGGGGATGGGGATGGGGATGGGGATGGGGATGGGGATGGGGATGGGGATGGGGATGGGATGGGATGGGATGGGATGGATGGGGATGGGATGGGGATGGGGATGGGGATGGGATGGGGCTGGGATGGGGATGGGGATGGAGATGGGGTGGGGATGGGGATGGGGATGAGGATGGGATGGGGATGGGGATGGGATGGGGATGGGATGGGGATGGGGATGGGGATGGGATGGGGCTGGGATGGGGATGGGGATGGAGATGGGGTGGGGATGGGGATGGGGATGAGGATAGGGATAGGGATGAGGGGATGGAAAGGGGGGGCTGGGGATGGGGAGATAGATATGGGGATGGAGATGGAGTTGAAGATGGAGATGGAGATGAGGATGGGATGGAGATAGAGATGAAAATGGGGGTGAGGACATGGGGAGATGGAGATACATACCAGGTGATAACTAGGTTGTCAGGGGTGGGATAGAGGTTGGAACAGCCTTCTGGGCAGCACATGGGAGAAAACTGCGGAATGTGTGTCTGCCAGAGGGGGCTGGGGGGGGGCAGAACAACATTAAATAAAAATGGCACACCGAGACCAAGTGGGATGCACCCTGGTGTTGGGCAGTTCCTGGCTGATGCCCCGACAGATACACAGGGCCCCACACTTGGAAGGGCACAGGCTTGGCCAGTCCCAGGCACTCAGACCGGACACACCGAGTTTGAGATCCTCTTAGTGCGGCAGAGTGGCTTCTGTTCGGAGCTGTGGGAGATGGCAGAGCCACGAGGCGGGGAAGCGGCTCTGGCCCAGTTTCCCCGAAGTGTGGTTTTCGGGGACAAGCCGCTCAGAGGAAGAGTGGGGAACAGAGCGAGCCTGAGCAGAGCGAGCCTGACCACAGCAGCCTGGGCACACTCCGTCACTGGCCTCGGGGCCGGGGGCCGCCTTTTGAACTCTGGGTCCCGCTGCGCTGTCCCAATTCCTGAGCCCAGAACCAGGAGCAAAGCACGAGGTTTTGGGTAAACCTGTTATGCAGCCATAGTAACGGGCACGGCCTTCTTTCCCTCTGACACGCCAGAAAGCCCTGCCCTCGGGAACTTGGCCCCAGTCCTCCCTCCAGTCTTCCGCCCTGGCTCCGACCCCCTGGCCCTCCGACTCCAAGGCCCACAGGACAACAGCCCCTGCGCGGCCAGAGCAGGGCTGGGCCCACACTCCCACCTCCGCCTGCCTGTCCTGCCTGTTTCCTGGGACACAGGGTCTGTGTCTCCCTTTAAGAAAGGCTCCACGTTTTGAAAACATTTTCGGGTTTTGGTGTCACAGCTAAGGGTCACTTGTGGATGAGGGTGCTCTAAGCAGGATCTGTATTGCCCTCCTGACCAGAAGTCTCCGTTCTGTACCTCCTGCACACCTGCTGCCCTCCCTGGTGGGGGCCGGGGGCTCCCCGTGGTCCTGAGCATGCTGTGCAGCAGGGCTGCTTTGGCGCATCCGTGCATGGGGACGTGGCACAGGTTCACCCCAGCTCAGAGCCCCTTAAGGCGTCCTCCTCCCCCAGTCCATTTGGAGAGAGAGCCGGCATTCTGGGGGACTTGCCGGGCCCTGGCCCCACGAATCAGGGGTAGGAGAGGGCACCAGCAAGCTGCACACTCCGTCCTCTTGACCTGAGGTCAGGCGCAAATGGAACTGGGGCACCAAGGCGCTCCTTCACTTGCTAACAATGATGCGCCAGAAGTTTCCAGCACCACTGGGCTGTGGGATCTACTCTGGGCGCCCCCAGCCCCGCCCACAACCTCCTTCCATCCATCCGGGGCCCCAGCTGCCTGGGCAGCGTCTCTGCACAAGTCAGAGGCCAGGAGCCCTCCCTCCGAGTCCTGCAGCCCAACTCACCCCAGAAAGCCCGACTGCAGAGCCTCAGGCAGGGCCTGCCCTGTGCACCCCGAGAGGCAAGCAGGGCCAGCTCGGGCCAGGACCGCCCGCCGGCTGGTCTCCCTCCCTGGGGCTGACCACTAAGCTGAGTGACAGGACAACCTAATGGTGCGGGCACTGGGTTTACCAGGAAGTGAAGGGGTGTGAGAAGCCCTTTGATGGGTGTCTGCTTCTCCAGGCCCTGAGAGCTCTACCTCATTTCACGAAAAGAATCTAAGTATGGCCGCCCCGTAAAGAGATTCATTCACCTTGGATTGGGAGCACACCCCAACACAGCAGCTTCCAGATATTTCTGAACACCCCCCTCCACAACGTAAATAACAATGGCACACCGAGACCAAGTGGGATGCATCCCAGGAATTCAAGGTTGGTTTAACATTCAACAATCAATTGACGATATTCCATCTTAAATAAAGGACAAACCCCACCCACATGGCCATCCCAACAGGCTCAGAAAAAGCACATGACAGAGTCCAAGGCCGATTCACGGTTTAAAAACAACAGCTCTAGCCCTAGCTGGTTTGGCTCAATTGGATAGAGCGTCAACCTGCGGGCTGAAGGGTCCCGGATTCGATTCCAGCCAAGGGCACATGCCTGGGTCACAGGCTCACTCCCCAGTAGGGGGCGTGCAGGGAACCAGCCCATCAATGATCCTCATCATTGATGTTTCCAGCTCTCTCCCTCCCTTCCTCTCTGAAGTTAATAAAAATATATTAAATGAATGAATGAATGAATGAATGAATGAATAAATAAATAAATAAATAAATAAAACAGCTCTAGTGAAAAATGTACAAGTAAACATCGTTCCTCCAGCAAAGGAACAATGGAGGAAACTCCACCACCTGCCCAGGGGCCCAGGGGTTGCGGGTGTCTGCACGTCCCTGACGCTCCCTGCACTCTGCCGGACACAGGTCTCCGCACCTCTGCAGGTTGCACAAGAGGGTGGAAGAGGGAGCTGCGGAGGAAAAGGGGAAAACCGGCTGCTTAAGAGGCAGGCAGCCAAGCACCAGAGAATCGACAGAGCAGTTCACAAACGGGGCGACCCTTCCTGGCAGCGTTCAAGCCCTGCCCGCCCAGAGCAGAAGCCTGCTCACTCCCTCCGCTTCTCCTCCAGGCAAAGAAGTTTCCAGACCAAATAAGGCCGCAGCTTTTGCAACGCTCCTGGCACAGAGCGCGGTTCTCTTTAAGTGCCACGCTGTCTCTCTGCCCGAAAACAGCCCCAGGCAGCGCGGTGCCCATCGGCCCACAGGTCCCCCTGGGTAACGGCTCCCAACAAACCCAGGTAAACACGGAGCCGCCCGGCCGGCCGGCTGCCGACCTCCGCCCACGGGCAGGTGGCGAGGACAAACCCGCTCGGGGGGAAGCCCGTGCCCACGCCTCGGGCAGGGCTCCCGAGCCAGCCGCTCTGCAGGCAGCCGCCCGGCTCCTGGGGCCCTCGCGCAGGCCTTGGCCTTGAGCAGCAGAGGCTGCTCGCTGAACCCACGTGAGGAGCCACGCGAGCTTCTCCCACCGTCGCGGCAGCCTGGCAGGCGTTTCCGGGGCGCGGAGGGCTCTCCCGGGGCTCCCTCTGTGACGGTTCGTCTCCACAGCCATCCCAAGGGCCTGCGATTTCCCCGTTTCACAGACGGGGAGACCGAGTAGGAAGCCACGCAGCTGTACGTGGTAACTATGGGAATGAGCCCAGACAGGCTCCCACACCGGGCTCCGTCCTGCGCCGCCCCCGCCCCCGCCCCCGCCCCAAAAGAAAGAGCCACGGGGCCGCTCCTGGGCGCCTCCCGGGGGGCAGGAGGCACGCCCTCGGACGGGGAGCTCGGCGGTTCCGCTGGGCCTGCGGGTCCCCGGTGGTCACACCCGGTCACTCTCGCTGGCCGGGAAGATGTTTGGCTTGGGGTGTTTTTCCTTTTTTTTTTTTTTTTTTTTTAAGGCTCTCCCTCTCCAGGCCAACTGGAGACATTTTTCAAGCAACCAGCTACAAACAGTTTCCTAACAAGGTCTCTCTGGATGAGAAATGGAAACGTTTTGCATTGCAGTCGTCAACTCTGACATTTTGACGATGCGTCAGTGCTGGCTGGAGCGGAGGTCGGTGGTGGAGGGGCGGGTGCTCGGTGCGGGGGCAGGTGGGCGAACACCGCACCAGGTACCCCGAGGAGCCCACTAACCCGGACCCAGGCCAACACAGGACACTCCTGGCTGCTCCCTATGGGACTTCTCAGCACCGCGGGCGAGGTGCAGGCTGTCGCTGTCCCCGGGCAGAGGAGCAGGCAGGTGGGAGGGGACGGGACCTGCTGGAGCAGAGTTCGTTGGAGGGCGCCAGCATTCAGACTCAAGGTTCTCCATCTCGACCTTCTAGCAGCCCCGCCCCTGCTCTTCCGGGCGGAACTGGCCCGTGGGAAGAACATGTGGATGAAGGCGCAGGTCCTGATCTTTCTCTAACATGGATTTGGCCCTACCCACCATGCTGGGTCGGGGTACAACGATGACATATACAGATGTGGGCGCAACTGGACCAGCAAGGACCCTTTTAGCTGCAGAGACAGAAACCCAAGGCGGACTTTCTTCAGCTAAAAAAGAGATTTTATTCAGGACACTGGGAAGAATGGGGTAGGGGTCAGGTGTGGCTGGATCCAGGTGCTCAGCAATGTGGTCAGGTGTCCCCACCCCATTGTTGGCTGTTTCTGCATTGGCCGTTTCTCCTGCAGACAGGCGCCCGCAGTGGGGGAGCGTCTGTGCGTGGGTGGCAGGGTGGAACCAGGTGGGCCCTTTCGGATGCTGGCCCAGCCCTGAACCTGGCCTTGCTGTGGCCAGGCGGGTGTGGGTCTCTGATCCGGCCAAGGACACACAGCAGCCCTGTGGCCAGGGCATCAGAGTTTCTCATCACACAGACTGGAAGATAAAGCACCCTCAGCAGGCACAACGGCTGCCCCGGGCACCCAGCAACCATGACATCTCAAACACATGTGGGCAGGCTCTCTGCTCACACGTGTCATCAGAGGGATGGCATGGCATTTAAATACGGGGTCCCTGCCCCGTCCCCTCCCCAACAGCCTAGTCCCAAAGACACTTGATGGGAGCGAGAGGAAGGCACATACGCAGGGGAGGAGAGGGGGCCATGGGCGCACAGAGGGCATCGGGTCTGGGCAGGAGGGCACCAGGTCTGCAGGAAGGCGGCCCAGCACTGGCGCAAGCAAAGTGATCCAAGTGTCGGCCGGCGTGGAGGACACATAACTGTGCAGGCCAGACCGGCTCCTGAGGGACACGCCTGAAACATGGAGGCCCCGATGCCTGGTCAGGAGACAGCCTCACAGAGGCCAAGGGGCCTGCTGCACTTAAGGAGGGTCTGGGAGGGGAGGGCACCCCGAAAGTGGGGCCTGGGCCTGCGGGCGAGGGGGAGGCAGGCTGTGACACAGGGCAACCCCTCAGGCCCCAGGCAGGCCGCCTCTCTGACCCCATGCAGCCCCGGGGAAAAGGCCCGCCCTGGCTCCTCCCAGGTTACACCTTCGGGGGGGGGGGGGGAAGGGTACCAAGCAGAACAGGAAGTGGTTCTCCCTGTCTGTCACGGGTTAACAGGAAAGGGCTGCCCCCGCAGCGACCCCGCACCTTCAACCTCAGGAAAGTGAGCAAGACGGGAAAGAACGCCATAACCCACTGTGGGCAGTAGTGTGCACACACTTTATTCTTAAATAACTTATATTTCTCTGGAGCAAATAAAACTCTGCAGTTGAAATATACATCCACCTGAGGTTCTTGTAAAGCAGCTGGCGAGGGGCCTCGGGGAGCCTGGGGCCTGGTGCCGGCAAAGCTGAGACCTGGGGCTGGCCTCTCCCAGGAAGGTCCAGGGAACAGCCACTGCAGCCCATCCCCACCCCAGTGCAAGGGAGGGCGCGCTGGGCCAGAGGACACCCCCCCGGAGGCCCTCACTCGCCCATGCAGCCTGGTCACATGACCCGGAGCAGCTACAAGGCACAGGAAGCACCAGGACGGCCGCGGGCCTCCACCCGCGTCGGCAGAGACCAGGCTGGAGGGCGAGGACGGGCTCACGGCTCCTTCTCCCTCCTTTTGCTCCTCCTCTGGCTGCTCAGCTCGCCCAGCTTCTTGTCCAGGCTCCTCTGCAGCTGGGCCCTCTTGGCGGGGTCCAGGGACCGGTCCTTGGTCCCGCTGCCGGCGTACAGCACTCCCTCCCGGCTGATCCTCTGCCGGGCGTGGGCGCGAGCCCTCTCCCCGCAGCCGTGGATCTGGGGGGACACGAGAGTCAGGGCAGATGCCGCTCTGCCCATCCTGGAGCTTGGGGACCATGAAGCCCCAGCGTGAGACCTTGGAGGGGCCCCATCCTCTCCCGCACACGCTCCCTTCCCCCCAGCTCCCTTCCTTCGCCGGGGCCTGGCCGGCCCGGACCTCCCTCGAGCGGAGGTGAGCACAGGCAGTCGGCAGCCCCCCTGAGGGCTGACGCAGTTGTGCACACTCAGAGCTCAGGCCCACCCGCCGCGCTCGGCAGAAAAATGTGCCCAAAGCAGAGCTATGACCTCCTCTGACCCCAGTGCGGGACCCGGCGGTGCTGGCTGGGGGTGTCTGGAGGACGCTGCCCCACACTGGCAGACTGTCAGGGGGGGGACGGAGGCGTGGGGCCGAGGGGAGGAAGCTATGCTGGGGCCCGCGCACCTCGGGCAGGCAGTGGCTGAGGCAGTAGCGGTGGCCGCAGTGTGGGCAGAGCTGGCCCAGAGTCACGATGCTGGCCCGGCACTTGGCGAGGCCGCAGGTGTTATCAGCCTTCACGGCGGCTGAGACCAGGGTGTCGAAGTCCTCCGTGGAGGGCAGGTCCAGGGCCGCAGGTCCTGGGGAGAAGGGTGCCACTCAAACAGGGAAGAACACGTCTCCGGGGACGGGGCCATGGCTGCCCCACGAGCACCTACGCCTAATCCCTGCTCTCAGGGGTCAAGGCAACGAGCACGGTGTCCGTCCTCAGAGCTAGAAACCAGTGGTGAGCACTCGCACTTCAGGGTCTGAGTCAGGAGGACTGTCGCCACGGCAGAGGTCTGAGACTCCTCCCTCCCGTCCCTGTCTGCTCCTCCAGGGGGCGCACCTCTTCTGCCAGGCCCCGTGCCAGCCTCCGGGGACCGAGGGTCTCTGCGACCAGCCGCCACCCTCCGGGCTCACTCCAACCCTTCAACATGAAGCACAGGATGCAGAGCCAGGCCAGGCCCACCAGGAGGGAGTCCTGATTCTTGCCTGGGCAGAGGGGCGCTGCAAGTGGGGCAAACAGCCCAGTGAAGGGGACACCAAGCCTGTGTTCTCATTAGCTGACCCGACTCACCTTTGGCATCTTTCTTCTTTTTCTTTTCTGGTAACTTCCGCAGCCCCGGGCCACGCGGTCCCTCCCTGGCTCGCTGCTCCTGCCTGCCCCTCTCCCGCTGCAGCCTCTCCAGGTGCACAGCCCTCAGGTCCACGCTGCTCGGCTCTCGCCCGGGGGGCTCCGTCTGCGTGGGGCCGGGGGGCTCGGGACGGAGAGGGGCTTTGCTGTCAGTCGCTGCCAGCACGGGTGGGACGGGTGGGACCAGTGGAGCCCCTGGGACAGGTGGAGCCAGCGTGGCCTTCGGGGCCTGCGTGGCGGGCGTGGCCTTCGGGGCCGGCGTGGCCTGCGTGGCCTGTGAGGCTGGCGTGGCCTTAGGGGCCTGCGTGGCTTGTGGGGCTGGTGTGGCCTTCGGGGCCGGCGTGGCCTTCAGGGCCTGCGTGGCCGGCGTGGCCTTCGGGGCCTGCGTGGCCGGCGTGGCTTGCGGGGCCGGCGGAGTCCTCTTGCTCACGGTGATGAACCTGTGCTTCCCTTCCCCGGAGCTGTCGTGCCGCAGCCCGTGCTCCTCCGCTATCTGGTGGACGCGCATCCTGTCGTGTGAGTTCAAGGAAGCGGGAAACTCCAGCTGCACTTGCTCGCTGGCCACAAACTCGGCGATCAGGGCCCTGAAGTGGTCCGCACCGTCCCTGCCCCCCGGCCCCCTGGGGCCGCCTCCGTTGAGGCTGGGCTGAGCCTGGGCCTCAGGGCCCACGGGCTTCCCGTCCGGCGCCTTCCGGCCCAGCCTGGCGGTCGCTCTGGCCTCCCCAGCTCCCTCCGGCCGCCGGCTTCCGGGCTTCCTGGCGGCCCCGGCGGAGCCCTGGGGCTTGGCACCGGCCTGGCCGTGACCCTGGGAGCTCTCGTGGGAATAGTTCTCGGGGACGATGTCATCGAGATACTCGAAGGCGGTGCGCACCTCCCCGTGCTCCGCGAAGTAGTCCAGCAGGGTCTTCAGGAAGGCGTGGCTGCTCACCGTGCGGGAGTCGCAGACGATGGCCGCCTGGCGCCGAGCGCGGGTGATGGCGACGTTGACCCGCCGGTCCTCGGCGAGGAAGCCCACTTCGCCTGTAACGAGGCAGGGGAGCGGGCGGGAGCTCAGCCTGAGGCACAGGCGGCAGGCTCTCCTGCCCCTGCAGGCACCCCCACGAAGGACCGGCTCCAGGCTCAGCACGGCCTCCCGCTCCGCCTCCTAAAGCCCCACCGTGAGGCCACGGCTGCTGCCCGGCCCCCCCAGCGCACAGGGCGGTGGGCGGTGCCCGGCCTACACTGCGCTGGCTCTCCTGCCGTCCCTCGTTTCCCAGTAAGCACCCCTCCTCCTCCCCGAGCCAGGGCTAGGTGACAGCGGGGCGGGGCTGCAGCTGACACACTGCAGAGAGAAGTGGGGCCATTCCAGTGCCTTCTCCCGCCCAGCACAGCTGTCCCACCTCCCACCTGTCCCCAACCTTCCACTGCAAATGCTGTTCCAAGCCCATTAGCACTGTTTCCCGGAACAACTCTCTTACCTGTCGAAATTCCACAAGCTCTGTGCGCATCGAGGCTGGCCCGGAGGCTGAAGCAGCCTTGAGGCCAGAAGACGAGCTCTGAGCCTGAGGGGCTCCACCTCCTGGGCGGTGCCCGGGCCCCCAGCCTGCCTGGCTCCCAGCCCCCACCCCAACCGCATGCCCGGGCCCTACGGCTGCACGCTGCTCCGTGCCGGGAGCGCCTCTCCCGCCTGGCGCCGCTCTTCCCGCCATGCGCGGGGCCCAGGCGGCCCGTTCCTCGCGGCCTCGCTCCCGCGGCTCTCCCCCCCCCGCAGAGCTCACACAGGACAGCCTGCACCCCACGCTCACTCTCCGGGGACCGCACGGCGGGAAACCCAGCCGCCTCCGCGTGTCACTCACTTTTGGGACCCTGGCGAGCGCGCCATACCTTTCCTGTTGGACCTGACGAAGGACAGCACCACCGCCTCCTTCTCTCGGCCTTGGAAGCCGTCGACCGACTTGATTTCAAGGTCTGGGTGCCTGTGAGCAAGGCTCTGTCTGAGCAGGTCCACCTGAAGCACCAAGCAGACCGGGGCCTCAGACCGGGGCGCCCGTAGCCTGGGCCCAGGCGGCTCAGACACGCTGTCCTTCCACTCAGCAGAGGGCCTCGCCTGCAGAACCGCCCCGGCCTGGTTTCCATCACGGCCCTCCTCACAGGCGTGCAAAAGAGCCAACAAAATCACTCCCCTGCCCCCCTCTGCCCCCGCCAGATAGGACCCCCACCCCCTCCAACACCAACACCCGAAGAGAACAGCCACTGTTCCTGCTGACGCACCACCTGCCCTCTGCAGCGAGCCAGCACCTGCCTTCCCTTCAGCAACCGCCCCCTCCCACCTCTGTTCCCGGGTTCCAGAAAGCCCGGCCAGCCGGTCCCAGGGACGGGCGAGGACCCAGCTCCAGGTCACAGCGACTGGCTGGGGCCGGGGGACAGCCAGATCAGCGAGATGGTAAACTGAGTCCCGTGGCAAAGGCCTCTGTTCCCGGGGGCTCCTGTGTAAGGGCACCGTCCCCGAGGCTGCCGGGGACGCCGGGAGAGCTGGCGGGAAACAGAAGCCAACACAGGCGGCCTGGCCGGGGGCACAGGATGAGGCGGGAGATGCAGAGCGAGTGAGATGGACCAACGGACAGAGGGAGGCTCTTGCTGATGTCTCTGAGCCTCAACGCAGACGTGACGTGGCCAACTCCAGCCTGGGGTTTTCGGTCAAAAGAACCAGTAAACGGCCCTATTCCTTTCAGCGCGGAGATGGCTGGGCCCCACCGACAGACACGGAGAGAAGAGGGTGCTCGCACCTGGAGGTTGTATGGCGTGATGACGGCAATGTCGCTCGCCGCGACACCAGCGTCCACCAGCGCCTGGACGTGCAGGCTGACGAGGCGCACCTCCCCTGCGGCACAGAGAGCAGGCTTCCAGGACAGGGCAGCCACCCAAGGCCAGGACAGGGCAGCCACCCCGAGGCCAGGACAGGGCAGCCACCCCAGGCCAGGACAGGGCAGCCACCCCAGGCCAGGACAGGGCAGCCACCCCGAGGCCAGGACAGGGCAGCCACCCGAGGCCAGGACAGGGCAGCCACCCGAGGTCAGCCCTGCTTCTCCCAGCAGCTCTCCCTCTACTCCTTCGAGCTGATCTGGGTCATCCCGGGACCCCACACCTGAGTCGGAACGTCCCCAGACTCAGAAACAAAATGCAGGACCCCACTGGGTGGCCAGTGGGTTGAGCGTCATCTGTGCACCAAAAGGTCACCAGTTCTATTCCCGGTCAGGGCACATGCCCGGGTTGCGGGTTCAATCCCCAGCGGGGATGTGTATAGGAGGCCACCGGTTGATGTTTCTCTCTCACATCAATGTCTCTCTGTCTCTCTGTGTGTGTGGGCCTCTTTTCCCCTCTCTCTCAAATAAATTTTAAGAATGAAAAAACTACAGGCCCCCCAGCCAACCTGAATTCCAGAAACAACCATCACTCCCCGTGTAAGCAGGGCCACGTGTCCTGTTAGTGGCCGCCCTGGAGTGGAACCGAGTGGACGTGCTGCGGGCTGAGTGAGGACCTCATCCCAAGGCCAGCCCGGCAGCGCTGGCCACGCTGCTGGGACGGAAGACAAAACGCTGCCCAGGCCCTGGCTGCCTCCAGTCGCCTCGGATCCGCCCGACCGCGGCCGCTCGTGGAGAAGAGCATCCAACGCGCTCAGGCTTAACCGCCCGAGGCCCCTCGGTGCTCCCTCCCCTCCACTCCCGGGTTGGCAACTAGAGGGACGCATGTGTTTGGAGGAGCCCGGGGTCTGCACAGACAGAAAAGCTGACCCCCCCCCCCCCGATCCGAGTAAGCTTACCTGGGTTCCCCTTGGACTGGTCCTCCTCCCCCTCCAGCTCAGACAGCCCGCAGCCGGCCGTGTCCACAAGCAGCAAGGGCAGGCCCGTCTCCTCCGTGGCGGCCACTCCCGGGAGGTCCCTGCACAGGTGGACACTGAGCGTAAGGCCCTGGCGCCGAGGCCCTCAGAGCAGAAGCCGCGTCCCCCTTCCTGCCCTCAGCACTGCCCGCCCCTGGCTCCTCCTCTACAACCTGCAGACCCCTCGGTGGCACAGGGCTCCGTCGGGACCCGGCCTCGGCCACGTCACTCACCGCAGGAGCTGCTCTGCCACGGACGGGTGTGCCGTGAGCCGCCCGCCATACAGGGCCTCCGAGGCCCACTGCATGATGGCCCGGTGCATGCGGTACTGCACCGTCAGCGTCCGCACCGCCCCCGCGCAGCAGCCCTGGGCCAGGCGCTCCATCAGGCTCAGCGACAGTCCCGCCTGCGCAGCTCTGCGCCGAGAGGAAGGGGAGGGAGGCTAGCGTGAGGCCAGGGCCCAGGGAGGGCTGCACCTCAAACCCGACTCGCTCCCCAGTTCTGACCAAGAACTAAGGTGTGGTCGGCTGAATAACAGCCTCCTAAGCCTGGGGCCGGGAGAACGCGGCAGGGGGACCGTGCAGATGTGGTGAAGCCAGGGGTCCGAGGCGGGAGCTGACCGTGGGCCGGCCTGCGGGCCGTGTCCTCAGAGTCAGTCAGCCCACAGGGGCGGGCCACGGGAGCCTGTGCTCGGAGAGGACACTGTGCCCGCAGCGGGCAGGCCTGGGAGAGGTGTCCCGGGGAAGGAGGTGCCCACAGACCAGGCCTCGGGACCCACACTGGGTCATGTGCTGACCCGCCCCAGGGCAGGCAGCACAGCCCACAGAAGCAGGTGAGTGAGCCCTTCCATCCTCCCCGCAGCCCATCAGGGTGCTCAATCCAAGCATGGGCCAGGTTCCCTGGCCACAGGGACCTGCCCCTGCTGCTCTGACGCCAGCCCCGGCCTCCAGGAGCACCAGCTGAGGTGCAACATCTGAAGGAGCAGGTATGAGGGCGGCACGCTAAGGCCTCCTGTGAGCGGGACTTCTGGGCCAGCCCTCGGAGACAGAGCAAAGGGTGACCGGGAGGGGCCGAGGCGCCCGGCAGAGGACTCACTTGGGAGAGACGATGGTGGGGGGCAGCTGCTTGTGGTCCCCGGCCAGCACGCACTTCCTGGCCTTCAGCAGGGGGACCCAGCAGCTGGCCTCCAGGGCCTGGGCGCACTCGTCGATGACCACCACGTCGAAGTAGCCGTCCGGCAGCAGCTTCAGGGGCCCGTCGGGAGAAGCGCCTGGTGGAGAGGGAGCCGCGGGCTTACGGGGGCACAGGCTGTGAGCGCAGCTGCCGGGCGCCGACAGCCCGGCCTCATGTTCAGCCTAACAAACGGGCAGCCCAGAATGATGACTTGGCGAGGACGGCCAAGGCCCATAGCGCCTGCCCTACGTGAGGCGGTGTGTCCCCAGCCATGGGCCACTCGGATGCCTCAGTCACCAAAACCCATCGCCCCTTCGGGGCTGCGACCCAAGTCCTTGGGAGGCCGTCTTATGTATAAACGTTTCTGCACCGTTTTCTGAATATAAAATGTAACTAATTCTCCTCTAAAGTGTTTTCAGAACAATTAACTGCTGAGCCGACACCCAGAGACGAAACCTCCACGAGTCAGAACCAGCCCATCAGCTCCCCCTGCCCACTCTGCTGCTCTGAGACAGTTCAGTGCGCAGACCTGGCCCGAGACACGCGCCTACCCCCGAGCCTGCTCCTCATGTTTAAGACAATAAAACCACATTACGAACAACGTCGCGCCAGTAAACTCAACAACTCAGATTAAATGGATTCATTCCTTCCAAGACACCAGTTCACACGTAAGAAGAGCTAACCTGAACGTAGTCCCGTTATCAGGTACGGAAATCCACTGTGCAGTGAAAAACCTCCCTCCCAGAGAAACCTCCAAGCCAGAAGGCTTCCTGGTGAGCTCTGCCCGGCAGGGAGGACCGTCCTACACAATCGGCTCCAGAAACGGAGGGGGACACCTGAGGCCGAGGGGGTGGGGACCCTCCTCACCCGTGTTGGTGGCCAGGACCACGTCGGCCGCCCGCAGGCTTTCCAGCATCGCGGCTTCCTCCCTCGCCTTCAGCTCCTTCCTCAGCAGCCTGATTTCATTTTGAAAGGTACTCTTCTCTCTCTTATCCTGGGTCTTCCTAATCTTCACCTACAAAGGAAAGCAAAGAAAACATAACCCCTTTTTTAAAATTGATTTCAGAGAGAGGAAGGAACAGGGGGAGACAGAAACATCAACGATGAGAGAGAATCATGGGTGGGCTGCCTCCTGCACGCCCCCTACTGGGGACCGAGCCCACAACCTGGGCATGTGCCCTGACGAGCAATTGAACTTTGAACTTACAGTTCATGTGCCAACCACTACACCAGCCAGGCAGAAAATACAACCACTTTGACACAACTTAGCACTTATTTAGCTCTTTTTAGTTCACAAAGTGCTTTTATTTATAATCCCTTGGTCCATTTCGATAAGTTTATTAAAAGGCAACAAAGCCAAACTCTTTCTTGAAGGAGCAACAGATACACAAAGTGCTAAGCACCTGCCACCTGCCTGGCCTTAGAGCCAGTGTCGCTGCAGAGGGCAAGGCAGGCAGGACGCTGGTCCTCGCAGCAGAGGGCGCTGTATCTGTCCCGGGTCACGGACAGGCTCCTGCTCCTCAGGGCCTGGTTTAGTAGCGCGTACACAGAGCGGCTGAGCTTCCTTTTTACCCCACATTTGTCAAGAGATTTAAAAATGTTTTTTTGCTTAGCCCATTAAATGACTATATAAACCCCAACTCACTTTTAATACTAAAAAAGAGCTGTAATCCCTGCCCTGGCTGGTTGCTCAGTGGTTAGCGCACCGGCCTGCAGACAAAGGGTCAAGGGTTCGATTCCCAGCCAATGGCATGTACCTCGGTTGCAGGCTCAAACCCAAGCTCCGGACAGGGTGCGTTTGGAAGGCAACCAATCCTTATGTCTCTCTCATTGATGTTTCTCTCCCCACCCTTCCCAGCGGGAAAGTATCCTCAGGTGAGGACTAAAGACACGCCGCCCCTTCCTTCCCTGTGACGTCCGCTCTGGAGGACAGGGTCCGGCGGCAGTGACAGGAGGGCCACTGTGCCCAGCTCCGAGCAGACAGCATGGTTTCGTCAGGAGCAGGGCCAGGCCCTCCTGTGCGTTCGGGACGGAGCGCCAGCACGCCGCAGACATCTGCACGCCTCCCGGGCTGAGGGACCGCGGGTCCTGTCCCCGCCCCGCTGGCCCTGCACTGGCCGCCCTGCGCCACCCGCTGTCCTGCAGGAAAGGCTGACTCCAGGCTCCGGCCCCGGGAGGCCAGGCCACAGTGAGACCCGAGCTCGGAGAGCCGCACAGGGCGGGACCTTTCAGGAAACCAGGGAGCGCGGGGGCTGGAGAACCAGAAAGCTCGCAGACCGAGGACAGGAGAAAATGCCATCTCAAACCGGAACCTCCGAGAGGGCACCCGGCTGGGACACGCGTACCGAGACCTGGTCGATGTCCCTCCGGATGTCGGCCACGATCTGGGCGCCGTCGCTGCGCGCCAGCACCGCGTCCAGCGAGTGCTGCTGGATGGACTCCAGGAGCCGGGCGGGGTGCCCGAGGCGCAGCGCCCGCCGCCCGCTCCGCGCCAGGCGCTCCACCAGGTTGTCCACGGCGATGTTGGAGGGCGCGCAGCACAGGACCTGGGCGCAAAGCTCAAGGTCGGGTTTGGGGACTCGTGTTTAAGGAAACCCCCTGGGTTTACCCTGGAGCCAACAGAACGCCTTTCGGAGAGGAGAGAGGGTGCGGTGTGGGCGCCCGGATGCCAAGGGGTGAGCCTCAGCTGCGGGGCCGGGGACACGTCACTGCACACGGTCACCGTGTCTGCACAACGGCAATCGGGGCTGGAGAACCTCTGGCCCCCGGGCACCGGGCGTGCGGAGACTGGTGACTGGAGAGAACGAACCCATAGGCCCGGACATACCCTGGCTGTGGCCCCGTCTCGTCACCAATCACATCCTGCTCTCACCCAACAAGCGGACGGGCACGCTCTGAACGGCCCAGCCTTGCTTCCAGAACAGCAGTCCCACCATTACAGCGGGCAGCGGCGGCGGAGAGGAGAGTCCCTCCTCCATCAACACCAAGAACAGGGGCCCTGGCCTCCCCCCCTCCCGTGTCCTGGCACTGCCACCCCCATCGAGGTGGCCCAGGGCACATCCTGTGTGCCACTCGGCTGCCAGGACGCAGAAAGGGCCCCCGGTGCTCAGCTAACGTCAGGGACGTCCGGACCCGCCCTCCCTCCCGGGCGGGGCAGTGCGGGGAGAGCCCGGCCCACCTTGCAGCCCTGCTTCACAGCCTGGAGGATGAACTCCACCACGGTGGTGGTCTTCCCGGTGCCAGGAGGCCCGTGGATGATGGCCAGCTCTTTCTGGGCCAGCGCAAACGAAACCGCTTCCTGCTGGGAGGCGTCCAGGGCGGCGTTGTAGAAGGTCGGTGGTCCTGTGGGAGAGGCGACAGGGTCGGGCCGGCTCTCCGGGCCCTGAGGAGCACAGGAGGGAGCGGGACTTCCCGGGAGGCACCCGGTCGACACAAAATCAACCTGCTTTGTTTCCAAAAGATCGCCTAGTACAGGAAGCAGCAGGCTGCAGATCAGGCCAAACCCAGCATGAGCCGGGCGCTCCTGGGACCCAGCCACGCCGCCACGTCGCCCCCGCCTGCACAGCCTAACATTGGCCTTCTGTCCCTTTACTCAAAACCCTCACCACTCAAGCCCCAGGATAACAGACTCTTCAAGGTAAATGTTTCTTGGAACTTACTGTCCCTTTGTATGTGCCCATAAAATGACAAAAATAAAGGATAAAAGAACTCTAGCCTGTTAGGCTCAGTGGATAGAGCATTGGCCTGCAGATCGAAGGTCCCAGGTTCGATTCCGGCCCGGGGTTGCAGGCTCGATCCCCAGTAGGGGGCATGAAGGAGGCAGCCAATCAATATTCTCTCTCTCATTATGTTTCTCTCTCCTTCTTCCTTCCTCTCTGAAATCAATAAAGATATGTCTTTTGTTTGTTTGTTTGTTTTAAAAAAAGAGGAAAACAAAAAAGAGGACTAACAAATGCCAGCGCCAGGTTCCAATTCCGACTCTCACGGCCATACTGGTTACTTGCCGTGTGCCCTGTGCTCCGGGAGCAGGTGGTGCTGTATCCGGCTCTGCTCCCACGGCACCCGCCCCACGGTGTGGCAACGCCGAAACACAGGCCCAGGCGCAGAGCCGAATGGGTTAGTGCTGCCAGGGGAGCCTCCATGTCCAAGCACGTCCCACTGCTCCACACCGTGCCCCTTTCTCCTCAGGTGTCAGCCGCCATCAAGACGTGTCACTCTCCTTCACAGGGGAAAACAAATAATGTGTGTGCGTGCCTGCGTGCTTGTGTGCGTGCATGTAGCACACACTGTGGGATGTGGATGTGGATGTAGGAAAGAGTTGAAGATGAGACACAGGCACTCGTGAGGCGAACCGAGTGGCAGGCTTCGGGGTGACTGACTCCCTGCTTTTCTGCTTCTGAATATCCTAGTTCTCCATGACACGTGTGTTACTCTTAGTGTCTGTCTACAGCGCGCTGAGCAAACAACCCCGGAAGACTCTCACACCGAAAGCAATGCTCTCAAGCACGGGTGAGGGGACCCTGCAGGGTGAGTGGCTGCCGCCCACTTCCAGGGCACCAGGCTGGAAGACACGGCCGTCTCGAAAGGCAGCAGGGTCAGAGGACCTAGAAAAGCCAACGGAAGGAGCTTCCTCTGATGCTCAGCCCAGGAAAAAGAGCCCACGGCCACGTTCCTCCCCAGAGCTCCCAGCGTGGTTCCAACCAGAAGAGAGAAAGCACGAGCTCTTACGTGTGTCGCCGGCGGGGCTGGGGGCTGCGGCGCCGAAGAGGACCTCTACGAGCGAGAACGCGGGGCCCGCGTGGTACTTCTTCAGGGCCAGCAGGGCTCTGCCGGGGAGAAAAGCCACGGGCGGGGCTTAGGGAGCGCCCGCCATGAAGTCAGGGCGGAGCCCCAGCCCCCCTCCGCCTGCAGCCCCCAGCTCCGGGGAGGGCGCACGGACAAGCCCAGGCCCAAGCCACTGCTCTCTGCCCAGCCCAGGCGTGGCGGGCTGAGGGAGCCGAGTTTAAGGAAAACGTTACATGCGAGGTCCAGTCACATGCTTACTTCTTCAGGCGCTTGTAAGTGACGTCATTGGCAAGTTTTAACAGCCGGTAGGAATTCTGCTGGTCCAAGCTCAGCTGGAAATCACAGGACTGGTCAAAGGCCACGGTGACCGACTTCTGGGTGATCCGGGTCAGGACCCCGGTGGCCAACTGGCCTCCTTCATCGTTCAGACCCACAATATCGCCTGCGAAACAAAGACTCGGTTATGCAAACACTGAGCGAAGCTAAATGTGAATTATTTTATACAGTAAGTCCCAGGTCATTTCAAATATCCTGTTACTTTCTTTAGAAAATGAACAGTTAACATCTAAATCACACACGAGCCCTAACTGGTCTGGCTCAGTGGATCGAGCATCGGCCTACGGGCTGGAAGGTCCCAGGTTCAATTCCGTTCAAGGGCATGTACCTTCCCCAACTTTTAAAGAGAAATATCAGGTGGCAACAGTACTCCTGGGGCAGAAGACCACCACCCCCGCCCCCGTGATCGCCCCATGAGTGCCCAGAATAGAAGCCCCCGTTTCTGAATGCATCTCGAAGCTACTGAGCCTCAAAACCGCTCCTCAGAAGGACAGCTCCAGACTCTGCCCATAGCTGCAGCAACACACCCAACTCTCAGCTGGCTGCTTTCCAGCATAAATGCCACTCCCTGCACTTCCTGTTTGTCCAGGAGCCATCGGTCTCCGCGGCCATTCCCTCCACAGCGCTCATTAACTGAACACACGTTTACCTCTGTGTTTCCCGAGTTCCAACCCCCTGCACAGACAGGCCCTGCTCCGTCACTCCTGAAAGACACTCAGCAACCCCCTTCACCCCGCCAATGGCAGCCACGGCACTGGCCACGTGAACTCAAACTCTGCATCAGGTCCTGACTCCCTGCCCCTCTCCTCTCAGCCTCCTGAGACAGAGCCCAGCTTGAGGCCGCTCACACTCCGTTACGTGCCCACGTCAGAAACGCACAGACCGGAGGAAAAGCTGTTGCTGGGAAGCACCCCGGCAGACGCGCTTCTCCGGGGCTCGAAGGTGACCAGCAGCTGTCCGTACAGCCCGGTGCGCTGGCTGGACACCTGCAGCTTCAGCAGGCACACACCAAGGCGCTGGAGCTCCTTCAGAGAGACGTTCTCCTGCCAGGACCTGGAAGACGGCAGGAGTGAACGTCAATCTCTGTCCTCACCGTGTTCACTCCACCCTTTGTCCCACCGTGGTCATTCCCCCCTGTCCTCACCGTGCTCATTCCCACCCTGTCCTCATCGTGGTCATTCCCACCCTGTCCTCACCGTGGTCAGTCCTCACCATGGTCATTCCCACCCTGTCCTCACTGTGCTCATTCCCACCCTGTCCTCACCATGCTCATTCCCACCCTGTCCTCACAGTGGTCAGTCCTCACCGTGCTCATTCCCACCCTGTCCTCACCATGCTCATTCCCACCCTGTCCTCACCGTGGTCAGTCCTCACCGTGCTCATTCCCACCCTGTCCTCACCGTGGTCAGTCCTCACCATGGTCATTCCCACCCTGTCCTCACAGTGGTCAGTCCTCACCGTGCTCATTCCCACCCTGTCCTCACCATGCTCATTCCCACCCTGTCCTCACCGTGGTCAGTCCTCACCGTGCTCATTCCCACCCTGTCCTCACCGTGGTCAGTCCTCACCATGGTCATTCCCACCCTGTCCTCACCGTGGTCATTCCCACCCTGTCCTCACCGTGGTCAGTCCTCACCATGGTCATTCCCACCCTGTCCTCACCGTGGTCATTCCCACCCAGGCAGGAGAAACAGGAAAGGGGGGAAAATGAAGACCTGGCACATGTGCCAAACAGGAGCCAGTGCAATTCCGGCTCTGTCCCTCTCAGACCTGCCCGCAGGCAGTTCATGACGTGGCCCTTCCCCCAGTCACCTGAGTCAGAACCTTCCGCCACCTTCCCGTTCTCTACTCTCTCCCCCATCCTGGTTCAAGTCACTGAGTCCTATCGGGTCCTTCCTGTTTACAGCCTGGATCCACCTCTCCCTCTCCCTCCCCCCTCGAAAGCCCTCATCACTGGCAGCCTGGATGAAACAGAGCTTCCTGGCCCTAGCCGGTTTGGCTCAGTGGAGAGATCATCAGCCCGTGGACTGAAGGGTTCCGGGTTCAATTCGGTCAAGGACAGGTACCTGGGTTGCAGGCTCCATCCCACATCCAGTCAGGTGCAAGTGGGAGACAACCATGGATGTCTCACATGGATGTTTCTCTCTCTCTCCCCCCTCCTTCCACTCTCTCTAAAAAACAACAACAAAAAAAGCTCTCAGCACCCAAGTGATCCTCCTAAAATGCAAATCTATTCACCGCCCCCCCCCCAAAAAAAAAAACTGCCTAACTTCCATGAAAGCCATCCTCTGCACCAGAATATCATACAAGCCCTGGGCAAGGCCCTTCTCAACCTGATGCCCATTTACCTTCTCACGGGGGTACCAATTGCTCTGCACTTGGTACCAAGCTGAGCACTTGACTTTTAATAAAATCATTTCATTCTCTCAGCAAACCTGTGAGGTGGGAACGATCCCATTTTACAGATAAGGTATCTAAGGCTCAGAGATATAACCTGCAAAGCGACACAGCCAAAAACGAAGGAGCTGGGATTCCCCACAAGCTCTTAACTGTTATGTCAAAACCTCTCAACAAACCCCATACATGTATAGACCGCACCGGTGGAGTGTAAGCTCTGGAATCGGGTCCTGCCTCCGCCTGCACTGCGTTGGGCAGGGTCCCTCCCCTCGCCCCTCAGCGCCTCTGACAGAAAATCAGTAACGTGCTTTGTAGACTCGGCCTGGGGGTTAGAGGAACTGGCAATGAGAGGGAAGGATTTACAGCCTCCATCACTGGGCGCTTAGTGTTTCAGTGAGACGCCTATCCCTGTTCTGACACAGGGCTGCTCCCCCTCGGGGACACCTGCACCCCGATTTTCCTGCAGCTGTGCCCAGGCTCCGCCTCCTCCCTGAAGCGCCCCTCCCGGCTCCGGGTTTCCTCCCCAGCCCCGCGCACAGCCCTCCGCACCCGCCACTTGTCACGCTGGAGGGGAGCTGCTTAGGCGTCTATCTCCCCGCCGCACCCCCAACCCCCAGCCCCACCCCGCCCCCCCGGCTCATACCCCGGCTCCCAATGCCAACCACGCTCATGGGGCCTGGCACACACCGGTGCCAACATCCGCAGCGCGGACCCAGGAGGAAGAGGGCTGAGCAGGCGATGGGAGTAAAGCTGGGCAGAGGCGAGATCTCGGCATGAAAGTTCGGGGAGGGGAACTTCGGACCGAAAAACGAAAGGGTCCAAATCCAGAACGGGCCGCCCAGGGAGGTGACGAGTCTCCACCTCTGGGGGAGACCGGGCCCCGGAGGGTCCGCCTGGGTCAGAGCAGATCACCGACCCCGAGAGGAGGGCCGGCGGCCGTACCTGCGCTCCTCCACCTCCGCGTCTCTCTCCAGCTCCAGCAGGTCCAGCTGCTTGGCCACGAAGGTCTCCACAGCCGCCGAGGCCATCGCCGCCGCCGCCGCCGCCGCCGCCGTGCGACCCGTGCGGGGGCCGCCGAGGTCCCGTGGCCGCGCGGGGAGATGTTCCCCGCCGGCCCCGTGCGTCGACGCACCAGGTTCGCGGCGCCTCCACTTCCGCTTCCGGTCGAAAATGGCGGCGGCCGTGGCGGCCTCGGCCCTGCCAGTCGCCTTCGGGCGGCTGGTGTCCGCGTGCGGCCGTGGCATCCTCAGACCGTCGGGGCCCGGAGCGGGTGAGGCCAGGGCCGCGGGAGAAGGGAGGAAGTGGGGCAAGCGGTGCTTTCCGCCACCCCGCCATGTGTGTATGTGTGTGTCCGACCTGATGCCTTCGGTGCTGATCGCCTTTTTTTTTTTTTTTTTTTTTTTTTTTTTTTTTTTAACACCGGCTTTGGAGTGGGGGAAACCGAAGTTCAGATCCTGGTTCCTTAGCTTAACCACTGAGGATAGCTCTTCCACTTGTGTATAGGCCCTTTGTGAGTGGGGAGCACAGAGAGGTTAGGTAACTTGCCCAAGGTCACTCAGCAGGAAGGTGGGAGAGCAGTGATTCAGACCGAGCGGTCCCTCTACAAAACCTGTGTTTTGCCAGGACCCGCTTTGAGCCGCTCTCTGAGCATCATCGACCTCATCTGGAAAAATGGTGATAAATGCCCTTGCCTAACTTTAACCCATTCAGCAAAAACGTAGCTGTATTTTAGGCTCCAAAAAGGTTATATTCAGCCTGAAAATGGTTGGAGTGTGTGTTTGCATGCAGGAATGTTTATGTATGTTTTTAAAATGACCTAAATGTATATATGACAGCTTTAAAGAATTTCGCCTTTTTTAGGTGCCATAATAGTGTCATGGTTATGTTGTTTTGTTTCTTATTTAAGATGAGTCTTAATCATCTTTTTTTTTAATATATTTTATTGATTTTTCTTACAGAGAGGAAGGGAGAGATATAGAGAAACGCCGATGAGAGAGAAACATCTGCCAGCTGCCTCTTGCACACCCCCTACTGAGGATGTGCCCGCAACTCAGGTACATGCCCTTGACCGGAATCAAACCTGGGACCTTTCAGTCCGCAGGCCGACGCTCTACCACTGACCCAGACCGGTTTCGGCTTAATCAATCATCTTTTGAAGGTCGACTTATCTTTGGTGTGTCCATATAAATGTCCAAACCTGTAGAGAATCTTCATTATAAGTTTACTAGAGGCACAGAGCATGAGATTCTTGCCTTCGGGGCAGGGGGTCCCTCAGCCCAGCCGACGCCCTCTTGCAGTCCAGGACCCTTCTCTCCTGACCACCTGCCTGCTGTGAGCCTGACTTCTGGCTGAGCTGCCTCCCTCTGTGAGAGTGCACTGACCACTAGAGGGGGCAACTCTGGCGCTGAGCACCTGCCCCCTGGTGGTCAGTGCACGTAATAGGGACTGGTTGTGCCTCTATTCAGTCGATGTGCATTTTGGGATTTTATTATGTAGAATTATGTAAAATTTGAGTCAAAACGACAATTGCCGGGCAGCAAGATCTCAAGTACTCTGGAGAATAACAGTTTTGCAATTTATTTTATGCATTTGGACTTAAGTAGGAAAGTAAGGAAGATTACATAAATATGGGAGAAAGCAGCCATGCCAGGGGCTTCATTTGATGACTGAGCAGAGCAGATTTCATTGGTCATTCATTGAATGCCTGTTCCGTGTCAAACACTGACCGAGGGTGGGGATACACCCATAATAAACAGACAATGGCCCTTGCTTATAAGGGAGCTAGCTAGCATTCTGGTGGAGAGGGGGTGTGCACACAGGCTTTTTAAATGAGCAAATGACATAGTGTGTCACGAGCTGATAAATCTTGTGGAGAAAAATAACCATTTTGAATAGGATGGTTGGGGAAATCCTCCACTGAGGTGGCGTTTCGGTGGAGACCCAGAAGAAATGAGGGAATCAGCCTTGTAGGTCCCTGCGGTGGGAAGGGGTTTCAGGGAAAGAGCAGTCAACACACAGGCTTCGAGGCGGGTGCGTCCCTGGCGAGGTCCGGCGAGAGCGAGGAGCCACGGAGGCAGGTGCCCGGGAACAAGGGGAAGCGCATTGGAGGGATGGGGTGACACTGCCACCGCCCTGTGGGCCCCCCTGAGGGCTTTTGCCTTTTCTCTAATGAAATGGAAGCTCCTGCCAAAACCGGTTTGGCTCAATGGATAGAGCGTCAGCCTGCGCACTGAAAGGTCCCAGGTTCGATTCCGGTCAAGGGCATGTACCTTGGTTGAGGGCATCAATGATTCTCTCTCATTGATGTTTCTAACTCTCTATCCCTCTCTCTTCCTCTCTGTAAAAAATCAATAAAATATTTTTTTTTAAAAATTTTAAAAAGAAAGAAATGGAAGCTCCTGCAGACTCTCAGCAAAATACTGGCACTGCCTTGGCTGTTCCATCACCTCAGTCACCTGTCATTGGTCACAAAAACCAGCTCCATATGGGGGGACAGTGGGTTGGGAATACCGGAGGCCGGCCCAACAGGGCCCTATTTGAGGCCCCCTCACTTGGGCAGAGCAGGGTCTGAACTACCGGGCACTTGGGGGTCAAGGAGTGGGTTACTGGGCGGGCGGTGCGGTTGTGGGCCCCTGAGGTGGTGTGATGAATGCATCGCGGTGCTATGGTAACAGCCAGTGACTGCACGTAATGTGCTCTGAGCTTTGTCGGCCTCGGTTTTCTGTAGACAAGCTGTGATCGATTTAAAGCCATACCAGCGACAGCTGTGCGTTGCGTGTCTCCAGGGAAGGTTTGCATTTCACGGAGTCACTGCCCCTGTTTCTCTGTCCCCAGCCTCCCTGTGGTCCGCCTCCCGGAGGCTCCAGTCGCAGAGCACCTCGCGTCCAGAGGGGTAAGGTTGACGTGGGTTTGGTGACTCTTCCTTTCACGAACATCTTTCTGACGCAAAACTTCAGGCATTTGGGTTTTTAGGAATATTTCTGTTTTCTGACCGTTTTGATGGTATTTTTCTCAGACCCTTGACATAAATAAATGTAGACAGAATGTCAAGAGTGCAAAGAATAAGGTGTCCTGACCTCCCAGCGCTCTGGCTCCCAAGGGGGCGTTGTCGCTCCCGATGGGAGGTTTCTAACCGGGGAGGTTGTACCCGGGCCTGTGGGAGCAGAACCGCTCAGGGGAGCCTGTGGCGTTTGAAACGGCAGATTCCGTGTTCAGTGTCACCCTGAGGGAGGAAGCTGCACTGTCAGCTACAGAAGGTAGATTTGGCCAGTCCCCGCGGCTGGTGGGTGTACACAGACAAGAGCAGGACCGGGGGCGGGCACGTGTGGGAAGCCCCTGGCTGCACCCGGGACTCTGCAGCCAGGACCGATGGAAGCCGTCATTGGAGCTGTGCCTCCTGGTCCCCAAAGTGGATTGTGAGTATGTAGCTCAGTGGAGTTCGATGAGATTAAGTAAATTCTGCATTTAAAGAGGGTGGACAAAAAATAAAATAAATTAAATTAAATTAAACTTAAAAAAATAAAGAGAGGGACAGTGCCTGGTGTACAGTGGAGCATTCACACATCGCTGCCGCTGCCGCACCAGACTCCGCAGTGGGAGGGTCAGCAAGGCCGTCTTGGAGGCTCCGGACTTGGCACAGAACAGGATCTGAACCCACGGGCCCTTGGTGCTGTGGTTTGAGGCTGAGCCAGGGCTTCATTTGACTGAGCAGAACAGGTTTCATTCATCACTCCACGAGTACGTGTCCAACACTGGTCCAGGGTGGGGATACACCCATAACGGACATACAGCAGCATACACCCTGCTTATAAGGCGCCGGCTAGCAGTCCAGTGGAGTGGGAGGGGGAGTGCACACGTGACCGGGTGACGTGCTAGACCCTGTCCCTCCCGGCAGTTGCACACAGCCATGTCTTATGATTTTGTACTGCCTTTTCACACGAGTGACTGTGCATAAAATGTTTTTTACAGGTACGTTCCTAAGACAACCCTGAGTTCACCCCCTTGGCCTGAAGTCGTCCTGCCAGACCCCGTGGAGGAGACCAGACACCACGCAGGTAAGGAAGGGGCGGAGGCAGGCAGCACCCCCCCACGGGCGGCCACCCGGCCACGGAGCCAGGGTGTCGGCTCTCCGTGCTCCAGACCCGCTCAGGGAGCCTCTGCTTCAGTGGCCGCTGGTTAGAGGGCTCGAGGGCCGCTCACTCAGCAGAGACCCCTGCGCACCGGCCGTGTTCGAAGCGGTGGCATTCGGGAGGGAAGGCCTCCGTCCATCTGTCTTCCCGCTGTTGGGAGAAACGTGGGTTTGGGCAGGTTTCTCATCACACGGAAGAGAAGCTGCGTGACAGCCAGTGGCCGCCGGCCCCGGCCTGGCTGTGGGAGAAGCCGCCAGGGTGTCAGGGGCATGTCAGCCTGGAGCGCCTGTGACCGCAGCCACCCGGCCAGGGGGAGTGTGAGGTCCTCAGTTTCCCCAGAAAGCGGGAGGTCCACCTCAATGCATGGAACCATCTAGTTGGGTTTTTTGTGTGTGTTTTTATTGATTTCAGAGAGGAAGGAAGAGGGAAAGAGAGAAATGTCAGCGATGAGAGAGAACCATCGATCGGCTGCCTTCTGCACGCCCCCCACTGGGGAGCAAGCCCGCAACCAGGGCATGTGCCCTTGACGAGACTCAAACCCGGGACCCTTCAGTCCACAGACTGATGCTCGATCCACAGAGCCAAACCAACCAGGGCTGGGATCATCTACCCTGTTCCCCCGAAAATAAGACAGTGTATTATATTAATTTTTGTTCCCAAAGATGCGCTAGGTCTTATTTTCAGGGGATGTCTTATTTTTCCATGAAGAAGAATGCGGTACACATTTATTGTTAAATGAAAATAAAGGAAATTTATTACCTGTATACAGTACGGTAGTACAGTAGTTGTCAACACAAACCAGACAAACTGTGAATCCTACAGTATCAAGAATTTACTCATTTATTCAATGACAATCATGTCATCATCTTCTGGAACATCATCATAACAATCCAGTTCCTGAATTTCCTGGTGAATTTCTTGTGACTCCATTTCTTTCAGAATCAGTGGACCAAATCTCTCATGTTTAGCCTGGGGGGGGGGGGGGGGCTTATTTTCAGGTGGATGCCTTATATTTCACTCAGAAGAAAATCTGTAAGTAGGTCTTATTTTCAGAGGATGTCTTATTTTCGGGGAAACACGGTAGTTCAAACACTGTTTTGAAGACATAGAGAAAAATAAGGCACAGTCTGGGTCCCGGCCCTGGGCCTCGTTCAGCCTCTGGCGGGACTGTCTCCGGGCAGGAGCTGTGCGGGTTCTGCTCCTGCACCCGCCGAGGCGAGGCCCGCGGGTCGGGTCTCCGCAGACGCTGCTCAGACATAAACGGTCAGAGGACAGAGGGTGGTGACCTGAGCAGTGGCAGTGACCACAGAAGCGGGAAGCAGGCAGCCGTGCAGGAGGCGTGCAGGGCAGCGTTCCGGGTTTCCTCTCAGGGTCTGCACCCTTCCTGGCCCCGGCTCTTTACTGAGAACAACTGGGAGCCAAACAGGATGTGAGACCCAAGGCAGCACACTGTGCGCTCAGGCCAGAGAACGGCGGAGGCAGGGCACCTGGGCAGCGTGGGGAGCTTCCTCTGTCAGGGCCGTGTGCCCTGCATGCCACTCGGCCAGTGCTGCTGGGATAGAGGGGACCCCGTGCCCGGGCGCCTGTGCCTTCAGCGGGGGGCGCGAGGCTCGGCCACCAGCCGTCACCGCCCTGCGACCGCCCCACCGGCGCCCCCTCCCTCCCCTCCCTCCACACCGCTGCAGGAGAGCGGAGGGGCCCCTGTGGAGGGGCCGCTGCTGCCTTCCCACCGGTGACGCCGCGGCCGCCTCCCCGCAGAGGTCGTGCGGAAGGTGAACGAGCGGATCGCCAGGGGCCAGTATGGCCGGCTGTTCGCCGTGGTGCACTTCGCCAGCCACCAGTGGAAGGTGACCGCCGAGGACCTGATCCTCATCGAAAACGAGCTGGACCTCGCGTGTGGAGAGAGGATTCGGCTGGAGAAGGTAAGGTTCCGGTTTCCCTACCCAAGAAGGTGGTGGCGGCGGCACAGCGATCCGCCGGCGGCAGATAGACCCGAGCGGAGCCTTCACGCCTTCGCAGTCCTGCGACCGCCTCAGAGACACGTGGTCTGACGTGTGTGGGTTTCCCTGTGTGTTAGACTTCGCTAGGGTTTTGTTGTTTCCGTTAAAACACCATCATTGTCACAGGAGGTTGACACAACTCGGTAAGTGATCGCCACATCAGATAAACCAGTTTTATCCGACCTGTGTCCGAGTCCCCTGCTGTTCACAGTTTGTTTAAAGCGACAGTGCGATAGCAGATCCCGCGCTCAGCTCATACCTTTCCCGCGTCCCGGTGCTTCCGGGCCCTCCCTGTTCTCGCCACGTTTGCTCCTCACGGCAATGAACGCCCTGTTTCACGTCGCAGGTCCTGCTGGTCGGCGCTGACGATTTCACGTTGCTGGGCAAGCCGCTCTTGGGGTAACGTGCTCTCCGGTGGGGCCCTGCCGGGGCCGGGCGGTGAGACGGGGGCGGGGGGGCGTCCATCACTAGAACCATCGCCAAACGCCAGAGGCTTGTACTTCATCATGGCGGGTGCGAAGAGCCCCTGGGGGCAGGACACCCAGGCCAGGGCACTGGGCTGTTACTGTCTCGTTCCCACACAGCCTGTAAGACCTGTGGACAGCCTGCACCGTCTTTGTTATGCTTCTTTGTAGCTTCCAAAATGTCTGCAGGGGTGGGTCACATATCGCTTTTATGATCAGCAAAAAAGGAAAGTAAACCTCATGTTTGAAAACCGTATGTAAAGCATCGGCAGCGTGGCCAGCTCATCGGGAAGGTCTGTCATTTATTTCCAGGAGGGATCTTGTTCGCGTAGAAGCCACCGTCATTGAAAAGACAGAGTCATGGCCCAAGATCAACATGAAGTTTAAGAAAAGGAAAAACTACAGGAAGAAGAGAAGTAAGTGACAGAAAGCGGAGCTGGCGCCCTGCGGCCCCGCCTGCTCTGGGCGTCACCCCTGTGGGTCTGACAAGGAGGGGAGCTGAGACACAGGCGGGGACCCCCCCTGCGTGTCACAGGCTCCCCCAGCCCCCGGGGACTCTGCAGGCTGAGCTGTCCTGTCTCAGACATGCGTGTCGTGTACAGCCCTCATGGGAAGGGGCGGGGGGTGTCGGACGGCGGGTCTCTGGTGGCTGGTGAACAAGGTCAGGCTGTGACTGAGTTCTCTCTCTCCCAGTTATTGTGAGCGCGCAGACCATCCTCCGGATAAACTCCATTGAGATTGCTCCGTGTCTGTGCTGATCGTGGAGCCGACATTTACAGAAACATAAAAATAAACCCGTTTTCCAGAAGTCTGTTTCTGTGTCCGATGCCAAAGTTCGATGCCTGTTACGGTCTGGCTTGCGCGCCAGGTCTGAGCACAGCGTTCCTGAGTCAGAGGCCGGGAATTGGGGAGACCCGGGGGACCCTTCGGGAGGCGCCACTGGGACCCCAGAGCTTGACACCAAGAGACACAACCTCGAACCCACTTCTGCAGAGACGGACAGAAACATGAGCAGATTCCGTCTCAGAATCACGGGAGGAGGGAGGGTGGAGGAGGGAGGATGGACTGCCGTGTGGGGCGGGGCTTGAGGGCCAGTGCTGAGGAGCGGTAGAGACAGCAAGGCCAGATGAGGCTTGAACTTGGTCCTGAAAGCAGCCGCCTGGGGTTGGGCGGACAGGCAGGCAGCCAACAGGAAAGAGGGATGGGTCTTGAACCCTGAACCGGAGTGGCCCAGGAAATGGAGCGGAGGACTGTGGGGAGGAGGGGCTCTCAGACGCCCAGGCCCTGTGCTTCCTCCCAGACAATAGTTGGGGCTTTCAATGGCACAAACCAGAGGAAATCCTTTCTTGGCCAGATCCCTCTGTGAGGGGGGATCAGGACATGAAGACAGCACTTCCCAGGAGGCCTTTCTCCTCTCCTGCTTCTCTTTCTCCCTCTCCAGCACCCTCTTCAGGTACCAGTCACCCTGGGAGATGTGGCCCAGGCCTTGGGGACGCTCCCTCCCCAGCAGGACCATCTGTGGACAGCAGGGGGCGGCCGCCATGCTGTTTCCTGGCTGCGGGCGCTGGGCTGGGAGGGTGGTGGGCGGGACCTCAGAAGGTGGAGCACCCGCTAGTGCTGCCAGGTGGGAGTCTGGGCCCCAGCTCCGAATGAATGCCTCCCTCCGAACCCCTAATTCCACACAGCCAGGGAGACCCAAGTCCCAGGAAGGGCTAGAGTGGCTTTTCCCCCCCGCAGTGCAGACTCGGGGGGGGGGGGGGGGGCCGGAGTAGGGGTCAGGGGGCCTGCCCAGTGATATCACCGAGGCTGACAGCCCAGTGGTTTGTGGGAGAGATGGGGTCACTGGTGTCTCTCGAAACCACAGGAAAATGTGACTCTGGAAGTGCTGACAGTACAGCCTGTCCCAGGCAGATAGACCCCTGAGCACTTCCCTCCTGCGCCTTCACACCCCTGCGCCTTCACACCCCTGCACCTTCACACCCCCGCGCCTTCACACCCCCGCGCCTTCACACCCCCGCACCTTCACACCCCTGCACCTTCACACCCCTGCGCCTTCACACCCCTGCGCCTTCACACCCCTGCGCCTTCACACCCGGGCTGCAGACTGCTGGGGCCCCCTCAGCTGGGGTGGGCTGAGCCCCCACCTCCCTCCTTACTCTCTGTGACCCGGAGGAGGCTCATGCCACGTGCCTCAGTTTCCTTATCTGTGAAGTGGGGACTAATGTGCCCACTTTTTCTTGCCCGGTGGCGGGAGGGTGCATGTTGCCATCATTGTCATCATCGTGGTGGCTGCTGATTGTTAACGGCGCACGGACATCTCTCTCCTTTTTTAGATATATTTTTTTTATTGGTTTCAGAGAGGAAGGGAGAAGGAGAGAGAAAAACAACAGTGATGAGAGAGAATCATTGATTGGCTGCCTCCTGCACACCTCCTGCTGGGGACAGAGCCTGCAACTCAGGCGTGTGCCCTTGACCAGAATCAAACTGGGACCCTTGAGTCCACAGGCTGACGCTCTATCCACTGAGCCAAACCAGCTAGGGCAACGCTCACTGACATCTTTTGCCTTCCAGAAAATTCTCCTTGCCCTAGCTGACTTTGCAGTGGTTAGAGTGTCCACCCAGGGACTGAAGGGTCATGGTTTTGATTCTGTTCAAGGGCACCTACCTCGGTTGTAGGCTCAATCCCTCGGCCCTGGTCGGGGTGCATGAGGAGGCAACACATCAATGTTTCTCTCTGTGTGTCTCTCCCCTCCCACTCACTCTCTAAAAAAAAAATAATAATAATAAAAAATAAATCAGTGGAAATAAATATCCTCAGGTGAGGATTAACAACAGAAGTTTCTCCCAGGATCCTCTGATGCATAGAAACAGAAACTAATGACTTAACTGTCAACCTAAACCTTGACATTAACGTGGATGCTTCATCTGAGAAGGACTGTTATCCTTGAGAAAACTTGCCAAATCTCCGAAATGAGGAGATCTGAAAGCCAGCCTGAGGCTGAACCTGGAGGTCTGGCTGCCTCTGCCGTCCCTCCTGCCCATGCCTGCCAGCCTGTGCGCATACCCGGCTGCCAGGCCTGGCTGAGCTCACTGCAGGAACGGAGCCACTGAGGCCTGAAACCACCTCCCCCACCACCACGACCACCCCCCTCCCCATCCATCTCCCCCCACCACCCCCCCCCCCCCGAGTGCCTGAATTGCACCCCACGGTCCCAGGAGGCTCCGAGGACATCCTGGGCAGTGGGGCTAGTCAGTGACCCCAGAAGACTGACCGCTCTGTATCCGCGCCTCTCACAGCCCTCGGACCCTTCCCCAGCTATAATGCTCCTGTGGTGGCTCAGGGGTAATGGAGCTCACCAGGCTCGCTCTGCCGGGCGTGCGGAATCCTCGCCCCAACCCCTCCACCCTCCCAGGACAGGTGGCCTGGTCCGGAGGCCCGAATCTGATAGGCAGGGCCACCTCTGAGCTCTGGCTTCCCCCTCAGCCAAACGGGGCAAAAGCACTATTGCTTCCTGGGGCACCGCCTCGGGCATCAGCCTGCACCTTGGCGATGCCTCCCCAGGGCAGTCATGGTGGCGCCTCCACACATGCCGTCCTATAGTTTTCTTACCATTCACGTGCCTGAGGCCTGCAGGTCAGCAGACCGCGGCCATGAAATGACGGTCTGTCACTCACAGTTCCCACAGGGGGCAGGGGCACTCCGGCAGAGGGAGGCTGGGGCCTGTGGGCAGCGGCCTGGGCTGTGTTTTCCACTGGAAGGAGCCGGTGAGGCAGAAGGGCAGGTTTAGGCGTGGCACGCTGGGGTGATTTCAGGGGCCCCAGGGCATAAGAGGTGTCCCTGGTTGTGGGGTGCCCTGCCCGGGTGCTGAGGGCAGGGGACAGTGTCTGAAGGTGTGGCAAGGGAGGGGGACGGGTTTAGCGCTAGAGGGTTGGTCTGCGCTTAAATGGGGCTCCCTCTCAGCAGCTGCTTACCGGCCACAGAAATTAGCTCGTGGGCTGGGCCATCCCTTCACCCGCCACCTCAGCAAGGCCGGATGCCAGAGAATCAGAAGACGGAAAGTACAAAGAGGGAAGTGCCCTCGGGCAGCCGGGCCGAGGGGAGAGACTGCATTTGTGTCCGAACCCAGATCCCCACCCCCACCTCCACACACAGACACACACACACACACACACACACACACACACACGCACACACCTGGCCTGACCGTGCTGGCTGCACCACAAGACGGGATCTTCGGCAACTCCATCTCCCCACGCACCAGGAGTGAACTCCCACGCAGACATGTTTGAAGCACGTATCACATAGAGGTGCCCAGCGTGGGGAACCCTGTCCTGGCCTTCCTCCTGAGGGCAGCCCTCCCCTCCACCCCACACACACACACACCCTGTGAGGCTCCCCGTCTCGCCAGGACCCCTCTCGGTGCTGTGGACTCTTCAATGAATGGACAGCCCGCAGGCAGGTTCCTGAGCATCACAGGCTGTAGCAGAGAATAACCAGGAGGGGACCCCGAGGGAGCGTCAGGTGACAGTGAGGCCACTCAGAATGCGAAAGGCGTGAAGTCCCCAGCACTGCAGAGGCGGGAAAGAGCCAGGATGTCCTGGGAGCTGTCCCTCGGGCGGTCCCCACAGAGGAGATGGCCACAGAGACGGACTTAATAAAATCGCTCTTGGTGGCAACAGTAAGTGTGGGCTGGGAGTTTTGCTTGGGGAAGCGCCTGATGAGATTCTGAGCCCCGGGTAGAACCTGATGGCTGGGCCAGCTCCCTGCCAGAGCCCAGCGAGGGCGGGGTCCGGGTGGCATCCAGGTGGCAGTCCTGTGGAGCTTGGCCTTGGCATGCATGTGGCCCCTCCACACCTGCTGGGTGCCCACGTCCCAGGTGGGCGTCACAGAGCTGGAGCGCGTCTGCCTCTCACTTGCATTTTCAGAAGAGGGGGCTGTGGGCAGGTGTGGTGGCCTCTCTGATGGCAGCCCCCGTGGGCATGTCCTGTGCCCAGGGAGGGGGTCAGAGGCCAGGCAGCAAGTCTAAGGCCTCGGGCTGCTCACGGGGACACCGATTCCCAACCCACCCCCCCAGAGCACATGTCTGCTTGTCAGCAGGGCTGACACGGGGAAGGGTGGGGCCCACAGGATGGCTGGGCTGGAAAAACAGCTGCTCTGGTCGTTAGGGCTGAACTGTGCCCCCGGAAATGCCTGTGTGGAAGCCGTAGGCCCAGCACCAGAATGTGGCCATATTTGGAGAGAGGGTCATTGCAGATGTTGTTAATTAAGATGAGGTCACACTGGAGAAAGAGGGCCCCTAATGCGACATGGCTGGTGTCCTTCCGAACTGGAAATGTGGACGCTGACAGGCACACAGGGAGAACGCCACGTGGAGATCAGAGCGATGCAGCCGCAGCCAAGGAACCTCCGGAGTCAGGAGAGGGGCAATGACCCCTCCCCAGTGCCTTCGGGGGGAGCATGGCCCTGCCAACACCTCGACCTCAGACTTGCAGCCTCCAAAATGGGGGAGAGTTTTTTCTGCAGGTGAAGCCTCTGGAGTGTGCCCCGGGAAAGAGGCGGCGGTGACGATGTGGGGCGTCCAGCTGCGGCTGTGCCCAGGCCCAGCCGGTGCCTAGCGTTCCTTCCAGCGCCAAGCAGACTCCTAGACAGCCGGATCCCCTGCCCTGGAGATTGCACCCCCCAGGGACTGCGAGGCGAAAGCTGGTTGGGATCACGGGCCAGCCAACCCAACGGCACTCCCAAGTCCAAGGGCCCTTC